CTTCCATCCTAGCCACAGGACTTGGGTCTGGCCACCTTCTAGGTGTTCCGTTCCCTCTGGATGTGGCTGTCTCACTGGTGGCTCATAGCTGTCATGCATGTGGATGCCTCCTTCGTGCCTTCCTACCTTGGGTAGAGAGGGCTTGGTAGGCTTTAGTCAGGGTCGGCCCTGGCACTCCAGCTTCTTTTTCTTTGGGTGTTTTTTGAGACAGGGTCTTGCTGTGTAGTTTGGGCTGGCTTGAACTCACCATGTAGCCCTTGCTGGCCTTAAATTCATAGTGGTCCTCCTGCTGCAGCTGAATTCACAGAGATCCTCCTGCCTTGGCCTCCCAAGTACTAGGATTACTGGTGCACAGTTACCATGCCCAGTTTGGAAGCTCCCTTTTCAACTAGTGCCTTAGAGCAGCACCTGTTCCAAACAGATAAAGGCGGTGGGCCGATGGGGTCACTGCCCCACTGTCCTTGGGGGGTCCTCCAGCCAGTCCCACCTCTGCTCTTGCTTTGCAGGCAGGACCTCCAGGTATCTCTTGCAGCTCTCATCTGTTGACACACTGGTTGAACATCCCAGTCCTCACCTGCATTCCGGAAGTCTTCCCTGATGGGTCTCCAGCTGCTGTATGGTGTCAGGGCCTGGTTTGGGTGTCGTCCTACCGCCTGTGGGGCTGGGCCACCTCTGTGATTGCTGCTCCAGCAGCCCCCAGCACACTGGGTCCTAGCCTTTACAAAGCCCAGGTCTTCTTACTCTGCTCCCTGTGTGCTTTCAGTGGGCTGGGCCTGGCATGGCTCTTCTGTTGGCTTGCCCAGGGCTGGTTTTCCTCCAGGTTTGGACAGACTTTCTTGGCTGTCTGTCCTGTGCGGGAGAGGCGGGAACTTGGAGTGCTGGCTGCCCTTCCCCAAGGGATGGCTCTGCCTTGAGGCAGGGGGTTTTTATTGCGCACATCGGCCACTCACCAACAATTTACAAGGCACTTCAAGTTTCTGGTGTCCAGATTAGAACTTAAATTTTGCTGTGATGAAAAATCAAAGGGTGCTGCCCGTCTCGGCATTCTGGCCCTTTCGCCGTTCTCTGGTTTTTCACAGCTCCTGAGGCACACAGCACACGTGCTCAGGCTGGACCTGAGGCGTGAGTGCCCTTCCCACAGCCCCGGCTGCTCTTAGCATCTCTCCTGTCCCACCCCGACATCCTGTGAAACCCTGTAGCAGACACTGAGCTTTTCCTCTTGTTCAAGGGGAGCTGTTAAACTGCTTTTCTGTCCTGAGTGTTTTCCACAGCGTCACCTAAATCTCAGTTGCAGCTGTATTTTTATGTAACTTTTATTTGTCTTTTCTGGATGACTTCTGTCTTCCGGAAGATAGTTTACTGTGGTAACATCTGCATTCACTAGTTTCCTGGATGGGGTCGTGGTTTGCCATTTCTTTCTTTGTTGGAAAGTGGACCTTCCTTTTGGTCGGAGCTTTCCAGCACATCTCCACCTTCTGTTTGGAGCCCTGTGGACCCTACTTCAAATACAGGGCCAGGCTCCACCTGCCCCAAGCCACCGGGCCTTGGCCTCTGTTAACTCCAAATTGTGGGAGCCCTCACCTCGGCTTCTCCCTCAGAGTTCAGGCACCTTGGGGCAGACTCACGGCTACTTGCTGCTTTCCCAGGGCCGCGGCCCAGCACAGTTCTACACTCCTGCCTTAGTTTCTCTTCTCTCCTGCAGTGGTGTGGGCTCCAGCTGTAGCTGTCACCCCTGCAGGGTGTCACTGCTGCCCCTCGGGGCTCCCTGGACAAAGCCTTCCTGTCCCCAGCAGATAGGACTCCTCCTTGATGGCTGGCATCTTTGGTTACATTTGCCCTGTTGATTTCTTTACCTGGAAGCCTGTGAGCATTGACTTTGTTTTTTCCCGTGATACATTTGTGGAGGACTTCCTGTCTTTTTTGGGTGACTGCATTGTTAGACCTCAAGAGGTTTCCTTGCACAGGTCACACTGTCTCTTGTGCCTTGTGCCTCTTTCCGCATCTTTACTAACGTTCTACTGCACAGCATGCTGTGCCTGACCCTTGTGTCCTTCTTGCTTCTCTTGGCCCTGCATGTGACCTCAAACTATTCAGTTTAAAATACAGTTCCTGTTCAAGTCAGCCTGGAAGATGCAAGATGAGCGCTGATGCTGGCCCTCGGTTAGCATTGTGCAGCTGAGGAGGAGTAGCTAGAGTGGACCTGCAATCAGCAAGGATGTACTTCTTACCCTTGGTTGCTGGCTTGATGTGATTTTTAAAAACGTAGGCTAATTATTTTGGGTGTGCATGCATCACATCTGTGCCAAGCTCCAGGGTAAGATGCTTTAAGATGATAGTAAATCACCATTGAGGCTCTCCCGCTGTTACCTTGGGGGTGTGTCCTGGTTTGGTCCTGCCCCTCGGCTCTGTTTTGGAGAGCAGGCCCCTCCCTGGCTCTTCTCCACCTGTGCTTTCCCTCTGTTCTGCCCCACGTTGCTTTGTTTCACAGGTGCTTAAGGAGGCGTCTGGCTGCTGCAGGCGTGGAGGGCTGTCGGTCTGAGTGTTTGTGTTGTCTTTCAGGACTGTGAGGGGGAAACTCCCATTCACAAAGCTGCCCGCTCCGGAAGCCTGGAGTGCCTCAGTGCCCTGGTGGCGAACGGGGCTCACACCGAGTAAGTGTCTTCAAGTCTTCTCCCAACTAGACCCTAGTTCATGTTGTGTTCAGAGGCAGCGTGTAGAGTAAGCAAAGGCCCCAGGAGCTTTGCCTTCCGGTCACTGCTGTGAGTGAGGACAGCTGAGGTGATTGCAAGTGCTCGCAGGAGGAGCTGGGTCCCCAGCCTCAGACTTCCTGTCACAGGTCAGGTCAGGGCAGTCAGCTCACTAGACGTGGACTTGACATCTGGACCTTGCCACTCACTGGTCCTGTCACCTGGCTGGTCTTCCCACTTTCCCCTGCCAGGTTTTAGTTTCTAACTGAGGGCTTGGATTGGAACATCCTTGCAGGCCTCTCTGGCTCAAACATTCTCAAGACTATGGGCTTTTCTAAATTTTGATTCCTCATCTTAGCAGATGCAGGAAGGTTATGTTTTACAGCTTGTTATGACTTAAGGATTTGCAGGTCCTTGTAAATGGGACAGCCAAGACCTGAGAGCCCTTAATATGATGATGATATTTCAGAGATCCTTGTTTATCCCCACTTAACACCACCTAGCCTGTTTATTATTGTTTGATAGAACAACCTTAATGTTCAGGCTATCTCTAGAACTGTGATCTTGTATGCAGATCATTAGCTGTGGCATTATACATTTATTTATTAAATTGATTTGTTTTAACTTTCTCTTAAAGATTATATAATAAAAATCTTTTCTTCACAGTTCACAGCATTAACAAAATGGTTTTTTACCCTTAAATGTTGAGTGTAAGCTCTAGAGCTGTAATAACCAAAATACTAGTTTTTTTGTTTTACCTTAAGTGTTGTGAAATTCATAAAATTAATTAGAAACCACTTAGTGTAATTGGAAACATGAAATTTTAGATTTTGGGAGAAGTAAAATCCACAGAATTAACCTAGTTTAACCCTTTGGTTTCCATGTCGTTGTTTTGACTCTGTGTAACAGTAAGTTTTTTTAGATCCTGGACAACAAACCATGCAGGTCAGTGCAAGGTGCGGCTCCATAGGAGAGGTCGCCGGCCTCCCCGGGTCTTAGCTTCTGTCTCGCTGAGCCTTGTGGGGCTTGGACCCTTTACTTACAGCGTGAGTCGTAGCCTGTGTTAACCGCCACGATGCAGGGACCCTTGTGACTTAACACGCAGTTATGACTTAAGGTAAAGTAAAAAGTATTGGTAACATGGATCTATATCTACAGCCTTAAAACACTGAGGTGATTCTCCATGAATTGCTCTGAAGTTTTATTAGCTGTGTTTAGATAAAAACTCAAATCCTTAATTTTAATAATAAGCTTTGATTATAAAATAGTCACTTATAACATAATTGATTAAATTGCTTAATTATCATTAATTGAAATGGATAATTAGAAGTTGATCTTTTAACAACTTATTTTTCTAAACAATACTCTAATGGTCCTAAACATTTTATTACAAAGATGGTAGTTTTACTTATTTTAATGGGTAGCTTAATCCTTTGAGCCATTATCTATCATGATGTCCTTTTTTTCAGTAGGTGTCTTTTTAAACATGAGCATCTTTTATTTACAATTCTGTCCTTGATTACAGGACCCTCAAGTGTCTCTTTTCCACCAGGCATGGCTGGGCATGGCTCGAGGGCCCGTCTGTGTCCCATCTCAGTATAAGAGCCTCCCCCTCGGGACCCTGCAATGTGGTGACTTCCCTGGACTGAGCGTTCAGATTTTTTTTAGAAGAAACATTTAGCCTGAGCTGCCTCGCCAAAAGCAATTCTTAAAATTCTAAGTCTTTGGCCTGGAGAAAAAACTCAAGTAATCATTATTTATTGCTGTTGTGTATGTGGTTATTTAGAACATCTAGATAAATGTCAATTTTGCCAGTAAGGTAAATCGAAATGTTTCTCGGTATCTGTTCTGCATCTTTTCATAGCTCACCCCATTTAGCCTATCAGCATATAACAGTGCGAATCCCCAGAGTAATGGAGCTTGGGTCTGTTTTATTTGTTCCCTGTAAATGCTGCACATATGGTCGAGTATAGTCCTAGCAAATAACACCTTTTTTTATAAGAAGGATCAAAGACATAGAATTCATTCACTTATTTTTCACTTTTTTTTTTTTTTTTTTTTTTGCTGTTCAGAATGGGCTAGATTTCCTTAGCTTGTTTTACATTCGGTGGAATAAATTAGCCTTCTCTTGTGGATAGATTAAAAGCTGCCTCATACCACTATTTTTAAATTAATAGTTTTGTTCTTAATTCCTGCTCAGCTTGTTA